TACCATCAATTCATAAACTGCCTAGCTATTAGTTATTCTTCCTGCTCATAGATGGCGCAATGAGTTCTCGTCAATCAGCTGTTACCCTTCTTTCTCGTCAATCCATTCCATCTCCGAATTATGTGATCATTAGATTCGCCTAAAAAGGCGATGCGTTCTATAATTAATTTCTTAATTAATATCATCGTATTTATGCCGACTTTCAAGACAGTAGGTAAAACTTTTAATTTTCCCTACAGTTCATTCTGAGTTTTTGATTGTAATCATTTTAACTTTATTAACTAAAGCTTCCAGAACCTGCTGATAGTTTAGACCAGCTCTTGTACTTTGTTGGATTACTGATGTACAACTCTGTAATACAAAATCGATGCACCAAGAAGGAATCATCTGACTGCTTTGAAATTTCGTATGCATAAATGTTTTGACCAAATATGCAAATGAATTTTGGTGTCCAATGAATGAATAGTGCGATCTCTATCTCATCCAGCAGATGTATATAAGGAGCTGTTCTTGAACTGTTGTCAAAAATTTCTGTTGCATTGCGATTTAGGATATGATTCAACGACTTAAGAAATGACTCGCCGCAGAATTCGAGCTCATTACGAGCAACTGTCAGAGTTTGAAAGAGATCGTATCATTGGATTGAAGACTGAAAGAGGCAGGTTGGCAGATCGAGATTCCCTCGTCATATGAGTCGAAGCGATGCGGCGTTTAGAAGTGATGGCACAAATGGTGACGATGGAATTCAGCGCAGGATGGTGGGGTTTCGATCTAGACCAAACAGATCGGGAGGACAGGTGATGTCAAATCAGTGTCACAGTGACTGATTCTCACTATCAACCATCAGACGTGCGACCCGCCAGAGGTCACTATGACGATACAGCGTCGACAGACGGCTGTAGAGGAATCTACGCTCATACGACCGTTACACCACCTTCACTGACGGCCTGCAACTGTCTACCATATTACAGGTGTTGCTCGATCAGTTGGAATGATTCTGATTGCGGACGTAGTCTTTAGCGATGAATCCGCTCAGAGCAGAGCGCTGATCCTGCTTTTACTATTGCACGCCACACAGGCCATCAACCAGGAGTTATGGTCTGGGGTGCCATTTCCCTTGTTAGCCAGACTCCTTTCGTCGTCATTAGAGGCACACTTACAGCACAGCGATACGTCGAGGACATTCTGAGACCTGTTTTGCAACTGTTCCTTTTGAAGTACCCTGGCCTTATTTTTCAGCAAGATTATGCCAGACAACATACGGCACGTGTTCCTATAAACTGTCTTGCAGCTTGTCAAACACTTCCTTGGCTAGCCAGATCTCTCTCCCATCAAGCATGTTTGGGATATGATGGGAAGGCGACTGCATCTACCAGGGCATGTTGATGACCTAGTCCGACAATTGGAGCAAATTTGGCAAGAAATACCGCAGGAGACCATCCGGGAGCTCTATCAGTCTATGCCACGCCGTCTGGCAGCTTGCATCCGCTAGAGGGGGTCACACCTATGAGCTTTACTTTATAATATGTAACTCTGAAATAAATTTCAATTGTTCTCAAATTTTATCATTTCTATTCTGCACCAATCTTCCTATGCACCATTTTTGTCTCCATCGACAACTCCTTCTTGGTGCGTCGATTTTTTTGCTATAGAGTGTACAATCACATTATTTTATTAAATCCCTATTTCTGTCCATTAACCTTGAGGCCGGGCTTTGGTACAGTAAAAGCTACCAAGGTCGGGGAATCTTGAACCGAATGCTTCCCCTTTAAGAAATCACCTCCTATTTGCAACAAATTCTTGTGTGTATTTTAAGGATTTTCAGAGGGGTGCACTATGTCGCAAAAGGAGACCTTTGAAAGAGATAAGTGGTTAACTCTAGGACGTCAAATTTGACATTTCACCCACTTTTCAGCCTTGAAATGGGGGAAAAGACATGGCCACTAAAGTGGACAACCCCGTCTTTTCAAAGAGAGGACTCTATGGCCACTATAAGGGCCATCCCGTCCTCAAAAGGTTAAGAGATTTTTAGTAGTGATTTTCCTATTTAACAGAAACTATTTTATTATCATCTGAATAAGCTACTTGATTAAATTTTAAGGTAAAGTGTATGACCTATGTACCAACTAATACTTATTTTTTCCTGAGCATGTTCATGATTCTACTGCATCAGGAACCAGTCATGTTATTTTAGCCTGGGCTTCTTCAGATATTAAAGGACGATCCCAATATGAAGATCAGTTTGTAACACTTCTATTTACCCGTAAGGTTTTCTTTCATATTAGCATCCCTTGCCCTAATTTCCCAGTGATCAAAATTTGTACTGACAGAATTTAATTTAGGTATTTCTGTGGATAAACTTTGTAACTACCCTATATTAAAGTAAACAAAACTAAATACAAATATTAACTGATTAAACATTGCTTGAAGCTTCATATAAATATAGATAAATATTTATAATGGATTAAGGTAACTTATATGAAGTGAAATTTAATAAGAAAAATTTAATAAAACGAAGATTAATAAAATGTGATAAGAAATAATACAATTCAGATGAAATAAAATTTAATAGGAAATATTATTCTGAAAATCAATAAAATGTGAGGGAATGGAATTGCCTAATTTAAATTTCATTAATTCATTAAAATTTCTTTATTGCTGGAGAATATTTTTATTCATAAAGGCTAAAAATTAAAAACCAGGAGATTCGGCTACCAATCGAATGCTTTTCGTAAGATTTAAACTTATGTAGTTAAACGCAGAAACGCAGACAATATAGTAGTAAAAAATAAGGCACATATGCTTCGCATGACGATAACATTCCAGGTTTGTGTTTTTTTTTTTTTTTTAGGTTTTAAAAATTCTATATGTGTATTAGTATAATGATTTGTAAGTGCTAGAAGAAATGAAGAACATTTTTATCTATGTAGTTCATATTTTTGGATTAACTAAGAAATTTTTTCTAAAAAGGCAAGAAGGAAACTTATCAAAAATTGAAAATGAGTAGAAAATTAATGCTACGCACAACAGTTAATAGAATTTTAAACTTATTAGTAACTAGTTAATAATTGTCTTAAGACCATTATTTAATTAATCATGTATAACGTTTCATTGGAGGTTTTTATGAAAAATGCAGTCTTAACAAGAACTCAGATATCAAAGTGAAAGAAAATGATTTTACAATTTGATAATTAAACAATTTTAATACAGGTAACCTCAGGCATATACTCAACCTCCCTTTTCTAATCTTTTTAGACCACATTGTTTATGAAAACCCACCAATATGGCTCTAGAAAGAAATTAATGGATTAATGACCTTTCATATTTAACTACATAAGTTTAAAATTCCTTTAACTATTATGCGTAGCATTAATTTTCTATTAATTTTCGGTTTTTGAATGTTTACATCCTTTTGATATAGACCCAAAATTCACTTCGTTATTAGCTGATATTAAAGTTATGCTTTTGAAAACTACAAATATAAATATTGGTCAAAATGTATTTCAGAATTATCTGGATATTCTTAAAGATTGGTTTATTAATTGGGTAAAGCTCTAAACAACCAGAAATCAAATGCAATAATTTTTAGGAAGGGATAACTGGAAGCAAATCAGGTAACACGAATGTTATTTGAGGAATAAATTACTGAATAAAAAACTAAACAACATATCTTGACCTTATGTTAGTAAGCAAACTTATTTTGAAAAATTTATAAAAAAACTTTCATTTCCTCTTTGCCAAATGAAGCAAGATACATTACCTAGGAACATAGGTATAAAGGCAAATTTTCATTAAAAAATGGGAGAATGGACTAAGTTTTTGAAAGGATTGAATGTAGAAGATTTGTCATGATATGATAAAATTGAAAAACTTAATAAAAATCATCTGTAAACTTCTCCATGTTAAGTATCATGTTATATCAGGGTGTGTGTGTGATTATGGCAAAGCCTCGAGGGCTATCTGCCTAAGGGGGAGGGGTGCCTTCGTGGAGGACTTTCTAAGGGAAACTGGCTCGTATACTTGTTACACATGGGGAAAACCACGAAAACGCCCATGCAGCCAGCCCGTTCGCGGGATTCGAACCTCGGACCGAACTACCACTGTTTCAGCGACTTTACCGCTCGGCCGCTGGTGGGCCTGTTATATCAGGGAATCTAATGCAAAATAATCGTAAGATCTGAATTCTATATGCAGCACTTATATAGGAACGTAGAGCAGAATATACTTTTTGAAACACCCAGACAATTCAAAATAAAACTCTTACAGAAACACTCGTTAGTACATTAAAAATAGTACCAAAACCTCAACATATACACCATCATGTAATAAAAATGCAGTTGTTAAATTGTACAAAAATATTATAAAATGAAAAGGATACTTATCAGAATACACTTGGACCAACACCATAGCCTGCCATATATTATTACATATCATTACTGTAAAATTGTATAATTTAATATTACACTAAGTTATTTTTAATGCAGTGAAATGCATTTTTAATTTTAAACTATTAATATATACCTTCAGATGTGATGCATTATGGTTACATGTTTTCAGCCACTTTTACATACATATATCATAGCCATGCCTATGTAAAATCTAAACATGTTGCTACATTAAATTTAGTAAAAAGAGAATACTGTATGAGTCCTCCAGTATCCCAAAACGGCATGTGATACGAAAGAATTAATATAATAAATTATTCTGTAAATGCAAAAGAATCATAAACATGTCATTTTAAACCTCAGACTTTCTTACATTTTTCTTTCATAAAAAAAAAAAAAAAAAAAAAAAAAAAAAAACATTACTTTGACAAAAATCAAATAACCAATATACATATCATTAAAAAAGATTCTACCAAACATACATTTGAAAATTTATGCACTTATTCAAGAATTATTAATGGGAAATTAGAAAGTTTCAAAAGCAAATAAATATTCTTAAAATCAGTTTGTGCAATAGCAAAATATCCTTTAAGAAACAATCATATTTACCTCAAATGAAGGTAAATAAAGCACCCTTTATTTTTATAGCAAACAAGTGAATTGTGACTGACAGGAAACTGCTGCCCATATGATGCATTTATTCAAGTGGCACATTTGATGCTTGCAGGAATGCTTTGAGCTACGTTACCAGATCTGTTCCAAAGATTGTATCTACATATGATTACATAATGATAACAATGACATTTATAACTTAAATTGATTTTATTTGCATAAATAATTTTATATTGCATTCTAATCGATATAAGAATTCTGAGGTAAAAAAAGTAACATGTTTTATAAATGTAAAAAGAACAAAAAGCAAGTCATTTTAAACCTCAAATTAAGACTTTATTACAATTAAAATTTTTATTGGTTTTATCTATGGAAAAAAAAAAAAAAAAAGAAGATAAAAGAAGTTATTTTACATATGCTCAAATGACATTCTTTTAAATAGTTAAACAACATAAAAACATAAACAGCATTCAAGAAATAAGAATTCTGAGGTAAAAAAAGTAACATGTTTTATAAATGTAAACAGAACAAAAAGCAAGTCATTTTAAACCTCAAATTAAGACTTTATTACAATTAAAATTTTTATTGGTTTTATCTATGAAAAAAAAAAAAAAAGAAGATAAAAGAAGTTATTTTACATATGCTCAAATGACATTCTTTTAAATAGTTAAACAACATAAAAACATAAACAGCATTCAAGAAAGTTTGTGCCACACATAAGTACGTGTGGCACAAAAAAAAAAAAAATATGTATACTATATGCAAATATGTGTGGCAGAAAATTTACCTACATATTACGTTGATCGCTAAAATAAAATTAAAAAAGCTAGAAATTAGATACCATAGCTGCCAGCCTTAAAATATGAAAAACCGGGAGGTTCTCTCGGTCAAACCCGGAAATTTCAGGGAGATCTCCGCGTGGCGCTACTATTTCAAAATAACTCCAGATCGACTTTAATTCACTTTATAATGCATGATTCTGACGTAAAATGTATTAATATTTAATTAACTATTCTTTGGCTAATTTTATTTACTGTCAGATACTCGTTCGCTACACAGGCGATAATCCGCTAAAACGTAGCTCTTTCCTGTTAACTCACGAAATAATTCCATTTAGGGGCCTGACGCTGAGAGTTGCCGCCCAGATGGTATAGTGATTAGGGGAGCCTACTTCGGTATCGAAGGGCCTGGGTTTGAATCCCGGAGAAGGCATGGATGTTTGGAAATGTATAGTGTCTTTGCGGTATGGGGCTAATCTAAATATATGGCGAGCCGAAAGTCCTCTCGTGGGGTTTGGTGGTAAAGGAGAGGGAAGGGAGACCCTAGGGCCACCCCCGGGGTGCTCGCCATTAAAACTGGGGTAGAAGTAGAAATCCAACTTCCTTGAGGTTCTGGCGACCATTCTTCCATAGACAATACATGGACAAGACAACAGCAACGTTGAGAGTTCATAATATTGAACTCGTATGGAGTATCAAATCTAAAAGAAGAAAAAAAGCACTCTTACCTCCGGGTCTCAAAAGAAAGTAACTTGGGAAGCAGTGATTCCGATTTGAAATTTTCGCACAATATCATAATGAATTCCAAAAATAAGTGATGTTTACCTAAATGATGAATCTGATATTAACGCACATACAAATTTATTTACATAACTAATTCAATATTTTACAGCAAAAAATGTTAGGCATACGCCTTCCAATATCATTACTGCACTACTTATTTATGCAGAAATAAAAAATCTGCTTAAAGAAGGAAAAAATTAATTTCTCAGAATACTTTGCATCTATGTATACTACGCTAAACTATATAAGCGGACTATACTAAGAAAAGTAAGACAATTTTATTAACGCTAATTACAACATGTTACTGATATGCTCTGGCATGTTGCCTAAACCAAACCCAGTGACTAAGTGAATGTTTATTTATTTATTTATTTATTTTTTCTCTACAACAGGTGACGCTGTATTCTAACTCTCTAGCTTAACAGTATTATTAACTACTTAACCATGATGTGAATCAAGTTAACAACTAACTGTTATATGCTAATTCAGAAGTCAAACAACAAAAATCAGCGTTATGTTTACAAAATTTTCACAGGACTAGTTTCGATGGTTTTACCGAACCACTATCCTCAGCTGCAAAACCGCAAATGAACAAGATAGGAAATAATTCATTTGCGGTTTTGCAGCTGAGGATGGTGGTTCGGTAAAACCATCGAAACTAGTCCTGTGAAAATTTTGTAAACATAACGCTGATTTTTGTTGTTTGACTTCTGAATTAGTATTTATTCGGCGTGTTATTGTGTCTTAACTGTTATATGGTTAAACGCCGTAATGTTCCATATACTGATATAACTGGTTAAGCGTGGGTTGAATTTTTATAAGAAGTTATACAAATGTCTGCAGTATGTTAAGAGAATTCAGATCAAATAAAATTTAATAACAAAAATTATGCTCAAAATCGCTAGAGGTGGAGAGTAAATACGGACTCCGCCATTCATTACATAATTACATTGCTTTAAACTAAATTAATTACGTTGCTTTATAATTGCCTTCTCATAAACACACATTATTTTCTTATAAATATATATAATTATATATACCATAAAATAATATTAGTTTTGTATATAACTGATGCAGATATACTGAATTATATCTGCAATATTTTTGAAACAATAGGTGTATTTCTGTATAATTACGGTTTTAATTATACCTCTTATGAAATATAAATTGTGATTGTTAGTGGGTCAACCTCAAACATACGTTCGCTTAAAGGTATGACCAGGTTTTGCCCATCCAGTTTATCTAGTACTTATATCTTGTATTTGTATCTTGCACTTATATCTTTTATTTATATCTTGTACTTATATCGCTCAAACATACGTTCGCTTAAAGGTATGACCAGGCTTTGCCCATCCAGTTTATCTAGTCCTTGTATCTTTGCTTTAAAATGCTCAGGGCTTAATTTCTAAAATTAGAAGTACCAGAGCCCTATAGAAGACCTTCAGGAGAGAAGAACAAGAATAAGTAATAAATAAAATAACTAATAAAATACTTAATAATAAAACAATTAAATAATTCATTATTAAAATAATTTAAAAGTTAAAGTAATTAAATAATAAAAATTAAAATTTATAAAAATAAAATTAAAATTTAATAAAATGCAGATATTAAATTAAAATTTAATAAGCGATTTTTAATATAATTTTATTACTAAGAATAAAATTTTCAAGGTCAAATTGCTACTGAAATTGTTGTACAGTTACATAAAAGAAGTGCCGGAGCCTTCTTATTTAGGGCTCCGGTGTGCTCCGAAATGATGAATTATCCCCAAAACTAAGAAGTAGCGGAGCCGGGCTCCGGCGCAATTTAAGCTCTTAATAAATTTTTTGCCCTCAAGTTAACAATATGCTTGAATATTCTGTACAGGTTTTGCAAATTTTAAGTATGAGTTGATAGTACATTAAGCACCCTTTATTTTTAAAGTAAGATTTGTAATTGACAGTACATTGCTGCTCACATGATGCAGTTATATAAGTGGTGCATTTAATTTTTATAGGAATACTTTGAACTATATCAGTGGTCTCAAACTCCGTTTGCATGAATGCCGAATACACAATCTAAAAACAGCTGACTTGGCCAGATTTGTATTTAACATTTATTATTACGATTGTTACTTTTACAAAATCAAAATTTTTTTTATCACCAAATAAAATATATTTTAATTAAATTTAAAATCTGGCTTACATAATAATAATTGAAAGGAAAAAAAATTCAAATTTATATAAATTTTTTCTCTGAAATCTAAGGTTAGGTACCTGGATTACATTTTTGTGGGCTACACTTTGTAATTCAAGCAGACTAACGTCTAAATATGATATTTTCAGAGTGATGTTTATTTCAAATAATTCTAAAATGAATTCATCATTAAATGACTAATTTTACATTAAACTAAAAATAAACAAATTAGGGAAACAAAAATTTTCTAAATTTTCAGAGAAAACTTCCCAAGTTGGGCCAAACTTAAGAACAAATAATGACAACCTAGTCTCTTTCACTTCTGTTTATTAGTTTTTTCTTTGACACGTAAAAATACATATGCTTACATGTAAATAATTATAAACTTTATTAGTTCTTTCTACATCTTGACACTTGACGGTGTTTCGATGCAGATAAAGTTTGCGGCCGTGGAGAAAAATTACTAGAAATTATCTTCATCACGGACTGTAGATGTTCATTAGTCAATCGAGTTATTTTCTTATTAATTTTCAACTGTGAAAAAAAGCTGTTTAGATATAAATGTATTCCCAAACAAATTATTCCCCACAATTATTCTCAATGTAAAAATTCGAATCTGAGCGTAATTATTTTTTCACAAGTACTAATGAAAGTTTATCAGATTTGCATCTTCAAATCTTTGAATCATTTGTATCACAGTGTAACTTAGTTAGCCCCCATTTATAGATTTTTTTTTGGGGGGGTATTATTCAAGTTCTTTCTTACTTATAGCAAAAATAATCTAAATTTGGACTTCAAATAACTAAAATCTTGAAATATTTGCAATAAATACATAATTGAAATATATTCGTGGGCCGTCAGTTTGAGAGCACTGAGCTATGTAACTACTAGATTAAGGGAAAAAAAAAAAAAAAAAAAAAAAAAAAAAAAACTTTAAAAGTGTTAGGTTGAAATACCTCTCCGGGAGGAGTAGATATGTGTGATAAATTATCACATTTTAAATTCCATTTTGTTTCTGAACTCTTCAGCTAAAATTTAACAGACATATACGTAATTATTAATCAATTCAACATTTATAGTGGTTGAAATTTTTTTCAAGTTCCTAATAAGCTGTCTAGGTAACGCACTGGATGTAAACGATAGTTGTTGTTATCATTCCCCTTAGACTGTGAGTGCTTAAATGCAAAATGCTTATGCTTATATAGCGATGCAGGCTTTGATAAGCTATATTCATCTAATCCCTCAGATTAAAAACTGTCACCTAAGTCCCAGCCGGGAAATAGGAGTAGACCGTGAAAGCTCCAATGCATTGCTTTAAACCACGGAGAGAAAGGGCGTCTCCTTCCAATCTTCCTGCCTACACGATTACATAACTCAAATGAAGGTCGATTTAAGCTGTATGTCATAACCGAAAAGGCGTCCTCCTATTGTCGAGTTAAACAAGCCACACCAGCACTTTCGCTTCACTCTCGCGCTCGAAATTTGCTGGCAAGTCCTTATTGGTTAGCACTAGAGAGAGGAAGTATTTTCGCCGTTACCTTAATGATTTCCTTGCCACTAGATGCAGAGCCGGATTTAGACTTGATAAGGCCCTAAGCTATTTGAGATAGGGGTCCCTTTATAAGTCTGTTATACTATATTTAAATTTGGGGGGGGGCTAAACTATACCTTGTGTAGCTTATACGTAAATCCTGCACTGACTAGATGGCGAAACGTACAACGCAGTTAAACCATAATAAGACCGGAAACCTTTATTATCAACCAGATTTCTCTCCCCCTCGAAAAATGGGAAATATTTGAAGGCATTATAAAATACTTCGGAATCTAATTAATTAAACATATATATATTTTTTTAATTTGAAAGAAATTTCAATTTTCCATTTATTAGTTAAGTTTAATACTATTTTTTTTTTTTTTTTTTTTTTATGTAACTCATAATTGGAGAGCAAAAACTTTCCGTCTAAGCGATGGAAAATTCAAAGCAATTTTCGAGCCAAAAACAATAAAAACTGAAAAGATCATGTTTGTGCGTGTCTTAGGTACGTAAGGGGAGGAGAGAAAAAGAAAAAAAAAAAAAAAAAAAAAAAAAATCGCGTTATATTAAAATAAGTTACTAAACCTAGCAATTATGTATATACAGTATAAAACACATTAATTTCAAAATACATAATTGCAAAATATAACGATCAGAGTTGAATTAGCAATTTTAGTAAATAAATCGCATGGAAATAATGAAAAATATTAAGCATTAAAAAATATGCTGCGCGCCATATCGTAAGTAGACTTACCAAAGTTATTACCACTACAGGTGTCGACATTTTCCGCTGACTTCGAGGAGTTTGAAGAAGTGCCAATGGAATTTTACTTTCTCTACCAGATGTTACTTCCGCATATTACTCACTGCACTTTGATCTACGACGAATGATTCACTCAATTCGTTGTTTTCTGGATTTATGCATTCCAAAACCTCATCCTTTGCAACCTTTGAAACATGTCTAGGAATTAATTGTCAGTCAGTGTTGCTTTCATCTTTAATGCATGTAAACCACATTTTTTACCGTATTGCTTCGGCCGGATACCCGTTAAGTGATCCATCACTGATAAGAAAGGCCAAAAGATTAATCTCTTAACAAAATTTGCGAATGTTATTTATTATCCTTCTTCTCTTTCTAATTAATTACATCTCCCAGTTATTTATTTAAACTGACTATCGGCTTCAGTTTGATTTTAATACAAAAAATATTATAAATTTATTTAAATTCTCTAATCTGTGGGATCACATCTAGTTATCGTCAACCTTGGTGCTTAACGGGCACCAGTGCGCTTTAGTTTCAATTTAAATATTTATTTTACTGCAGCGCCCCACAACAGTATCTATGGATCGAACTCAAGGGACTTTCACTGTAGTCACTCGTTATAGTAGGTCACTCGTGACCAACACTCTTGACGCCAATAGTTATGGTTAATATTGATTTAAATTTTTTTTTAAATCTAAATTTACTTTTACGGCCCCAGACTAATGACCTATGTCTTGACCTGCAGTTATCTTCTGACTGTCGGTCACCCAATGAGCAATAAACTTGACGGCCACCAATGTACTTCGGTTTAATTTTAATTTAAAATGCTGTCTAAATTTCACGCACTGTCCCACACTGCTGAAATATTTCTTGGCTATAAGTGAGTGCCATCTTGCAGATAATCAGTGATCAACATCCTTAACCCTCACCATAAGTTTAATTTTGTTTTAATAATCTAACTAAATTGAATAATGTAGTACCTATAATTGAAAAGCACGTATAATTCATAATATATACAATTTACAGTTTTATTAACATCGACATTTTTTAAAATTAAAATATGTTCTAATGTTCTATATTCAGTACCTAGTGCAGAATCATTTGTTTTTTTTTTCTTCCGTTAAACATAATTTTCTAATTTCCACTTGTTGTTGGTATTGATAATTACATTAATCATCATCCCCCCCCCTCCAAATCACTGCTGCTTCAAAAAAGCATGTGTGATTAGAAAGACGAGAAATAATTTGTGACAGAGAAACCGGTATATGATTAGAAAAGTTGAACGAATATTTAAGACTCTTACGATACTCCCTACGAATGTGCGAAGTTAACTGTTGCTTAATTGCTTTGAAACAACCAAAGCACCTTTTCATTTCCGCTTTATTACGCTAATTAATTAATATACTTTTGGCATTACTAATTTTAATAATTAACAAAATTCGAACTTGGTTTGATCATCATATCATTTTAAAAGCTTGATGCATTTCGAAAAACAGAAATACGATCTCTCATCTTCACAAGCTAGTAATTTTTTACAAACGCTTTAATATTTCTGTCTTAAATACTATGAAATTAAAGATGAAATCACAGAGTGGGAAGCTATATACAATCCATCAATTGTACAGCCTCCTCTAATAAGCAGAATCAACGAAGGCAAAAACAGACACGCTGCATAGACACTCTTGGATTGTGAACATTAGTATTAAAATTGTTAATTTAAATCAGCATATTTCGTTGAATGTGGAGGGCTTTAAGGAAAACCTAATTCAGCAGCTGAAGAAATATTGTGGATTTAATGCATTCATATCATATATCACATTTAATATAATTTTGATAAACAACTGATTAATTATATAAATAATTATATTGCTAAATAAATTTTACCATAAAAATTTATTAGAAGGATTAGCCAAAAAGCTACAAATGCTTAAGAACAGTAAATTTATTATTCTTAATTTCTGATGAGATTGCTGAGCACAGATAGTTTGACTTGAGTTGAAATCTGGTCGAATGGGCTAGCTGTTTGAGTTAACCAATCTTAACCTTTATAACAGTAAGGTAATTATTACTGGATTAGATCCGGGTTTTCATCCGCAGAGAACCCGTTGGCGCTTCGGGAAAGAATCCGTTGGCGCCGTTGCATTTTTACTCGCCAAGCTCGCGGTTCATCGACGATGAGCCGAGCCGTAAATGTGATATTTTGTAAACGTGATTTTTAGTGCATGTAAATTCAAGTTAGCAGACAAAACAAGCATATGGTAGTAAAAATTCACAGATAATAAGCATGTAGATGTAAAACTAACTGGTTAAACGTGATATACGAAAATAAATTTGAATTAAATTCAAGTTAGCACAGAAAAGAATATATTAAGCATAAGAACAATATATAAGGCATTAATAACGGAAATAAAAATTCATTTAAAATTATAAATTATTATTAATGTATTGAAATTAACCGGTTTAAACGTGAGAAACGAAAGAAAAAAAATTGTCTTAAATTCCAATTAACACAGAAAACAATATATTCCTTACATCAGCAGTGGTTTGCTAATTTTGATGACCATGGTGATGCATCAAACTATTCTGTCATCTTACATAATCAATAATATTTTTTTTATTTCAATTTAATCATCTATTTATGTCACACCTACCATCCTCTGAAAGGTTATTGTTAGAAAAGCATTAACAAGATTAAAATTTTACGCCATAAAAATTGATTTATTCTCATAATATTAGATGAAAATAACCAATAATAAAAATAAAAGCATTATTTAATTATTTAAAATGCACATGCATATTTTTGCGGCCTACGGAAACAAATTATTTTAGAGGTTGGAAACCTCATGGTTCTTAGAGCTGTTAATAATTAAGAACACAACGTGAACAGCCGTGTTACAAATTAGCATTCACCCCTCCCGCCATATTTTCTTCCTTTCATTCCGAACCGAGAACTGGTCTCTATCTACGAAAATATTTCATCTATTCGTTGTTAAAATATTCAGAAAAATAATAATAAACAAGAGAAGAATAATGTAAATCTGCAAATGCGAACAACAACAGTGATATTTCAACAAAATGAACGCAAGAGAAATGGTTGCAAACTTCGAACAAGCGAAAACGATAAATCGGCTGGGTTACCAGGTTTGAACTATTATCGCCAAAGTTGGCGATGTTTACATTTACCGGGTTCTCTTCGGAAGTGCTTCCTTAGATCCGATATAGTTTGTTGATCCAAGTATAAAATTATATATTTTGTGAATAGTCTCAAATATGTGATCAACTATGTATAAAAATGAAAAGCTATAAGAAATTTCACCCGTACTCTTAAAAATTAAAATACGCCTATTTATTGTTATGGTTTGGATTTTGACCCGTATATAAAATTGTAGTTTGCGAAAACTTTTTAAATAAATAACCAGATGCCTGCATAAAATTATTAACAATTTTATCTGAAGTTAAAATACCCTCAATATTTTCATTCCAGTAAAGAATTTAAAAAAAGAAATCATTAGGTAAATTAGCGGTGCTTACAAGCCGTACCTTACAAGCTTGACCTTACAAGCTTACAAGGAATCCGTACCTTACAAGCTTGAGATTAAACTAAATGTTACTTAAAGGCATCAGAATAAAAAAAAACCAGGGCAAAGTGGGCTCTCATATTACCAGAAATAAACTTTACGAATAAAGTTAGCACTTATACAACAGAATATTAAAAACAAACAGTCTGCTGAAAAGAATTCTTCAAGGTTAAATGAAGTACAAGTTAAAATGGCGATCTATTATAAAGTTACTGTCTATGTAAATCCCATATGAAAATACTTTATTTCTATTTTTAATACAAAAGTTGGTATACTAATGTAATAAAACAATGAAATTCTACAAAAAATTGCGTCAAGCTTACCTCAGTATAAGGACATTCTACCCTCTCATACACCATCAGTAAAAGAATGCTCGCCATTTTGGTCTAAAAAAACAATTAACCCTTCAGTCTAAACGCTACATAACGTCTCGAACGCCAAGATATTAAAACTTATCGCCCACAATCGACTAACGGTCACAATCGACTAACGGTCACAATCGTCATTGTAGCTTGTTTGTTTGTCTATCATTAAGGTATATATTAAAATGTGTTGAACTTTTTGGAGCCACAGCTCCTGGTAACTTTTAGGCGAGCTTACTACAATTTCTAATTTATTTTAAATAAAATATATTCCCGTGTGAGAGGCGAAGGCGTACGTACAGTAATGTATTTACATTAAAATAAACCTCGCTATCGTGAATTCAGCACAAATTCAAACGAATTCCACTGTGTAACAATCAAGCAGATATTCTAAAAATTTAGGATATTTCAGTATGTATTTTACAACCTTGTTTTTAGAATTGAAGAAGGAAGCTGGTATTTAAAAGGAAAAAACTGCTATTCTTCCAAGGAAATTAAACACATTCAGTAATACACCTACCATTTTATGTTCACCATTTTTAATGTATATTATAAAATAATACTTACATTTTTTCAATGAATGATTATAATTTAACGTATTTCCATAGCTCATGCTAGATGAGAAAAAAGCTTTTTCTTAATTTTCTCCCCCCAAATAATATTTAACCTTTGCAAATGGAAAAATTTCTTCCAAGTAAAATGACAATATTATTTCGAAATAGCATGGCCATTTAATGCATAATAAAACTGTCTACTTGCAAATTTTAAAGCACATAAAAAGGCTTAATATTTTGTTACTTAACAGGTAACAAAATGAAAAGTAGGAATTTTTGGCACATAACTTTATAAAATAAATACAAAACTGCAATACTAGTTGCAATCTTGGCTAGTGTTATTATCTTCAATCTTTCATCTTGTTGTTGATCCAATTTTATAAAACATAAATAAATACAAAATAAATACTTTTAAAGACAAAAAAAACGGTTTGTTTTTTAGCTGCGTTGTTAATTTTGTAATAGATTATGAAATAAGGCAAATCGAAGTGCTCTTCTTAATATTATTTATTGCATGTCCATATTGGGAAAAATCTCTTAATGCGTGATTCACAAAATAACAACTCTTAGTTCAATGGGAAAATATAAATGTGATCTATTCTTTTCTAAGTATCATTTCAGTTCAAC